AGGGAGATCCCAATTATTCTAGAAACATTTGCATATTTTAACACCACTATAATTAAAAAACAAAACAAAACCTTAGCAGTGCTCCATAGATAGCCATAATTCTGCTAAACTAGCTGAGGAGCTTTTAAACAAAACCTACTGTGTGGAGGGAGAGAAAGAAGAAAATCGTTACTAGTGACTGCTTTGTTTGAAAGGCCTGTACTCAAACCGAAGTGAAAGCAATCAAAATGCACCTTTCACACATTCAAAATGCTATAGATTTTCTATAGTTAAGTCATTAAACAGTAGGACTAAATATATACCAACTCGTTACATAAGACGAGACAGCACTATAATCACATAGAAAGAGGGGTTGAAAAGAAATTCAAATCAGATACGCCTCTGGCCCCAAAATAAGATAGAATGAGGAAATAGTGGTTGAGGCTGTGATTCTAAGCACACTTTTGAGGGGAGGGAGGTAAGCGCCACTGAAATCAATGGATTTCAAGCATCAGTGAAATTCCAAATTCACATGTCTACTAGCATTGAGGTGTCTGAAAAAGCATTGATACCCAGTGGTTTCAAAAGAATGGCTTGTCACAGGCATTAGGAAACTGTCTCTGTGTGGTTATTAGCAAGGAAGAAACAGAAGATTCTACACTGGCAGGCATGAGACAGTGACATCCATCGGTAGAGGGATTGATGAAGGTAAATCAGCCTTCATCTGGCTCCCCAGATCAGATCTGGTGGGCTCCATCAATGATCCATGGAAGTCTGCTGTTCCCAAAACAAGGCAGAAGACCAGATGCAATGCCATCAAAGTGTTTATTCCTATTTGTGGAGAAGCAAGGGCAATTTGATAGGATTGGGGGACTACAGATTATATTGATATTTTGTACTTTTTACTACCTGGTGTGACTTGTTTGTTTTTCTATGGCTTTTAATAGCATCATTATTATTGCTATGGCTGAAGTGTGTGGAACAAAGTCTTCAAACACACACACACAGGTTGTTTTCAGTTTAAATTAGCCTATGGAATGGGCTAGTGTGGATCTTTTTTTAAACAGTCTTTGTTTATTCTTCTCCAAGAGGTCTCAAATGAGATAACAGCTCAACCATCCCCCATGGCCCTTTTGTAGGCAGCCCTTATAGGTTCAGCTGCTATTTTAGTCTGGGAGCAGAGGCTGTGGGCTGCTCTGAGTAACAGCACAGCCAACGTGAATGCCAGATGCACGGCGTTCCATTCAGCCTGCCTCTGTGAGAACTGGTGTTGTGCCTTTGCTGATCCTTACTTTCTTTTAGTTTCCAGTGGAGATCATGGGGCATCATCATCAACTGTGAATGACTGGCCTAAGACATTTTGCCACTTTAAGCCAGCCCTTGCAGATTCCCTGCAATGTGACCACAAGTGACGTGATGAGGGAGCCACTCTGAAAGTGTGGAGAGCTGTACACAACTCAAGAGTCATGCCTCAGGCGATGGCTCCCCAGATCAGATCTCCCTGAAAACTGTCACTGTGCAGCCCTCCAACCTCCTTCACAAAGCTGGGGAAACACTAACTAAGCTTTGAGAAGGAGGAAGGAGGATTCTAAGACCTTGTGAGAGCCTCAAACCTCCTTCCAAAAGCCCAAGATAGCGCCCCCTCGGATCAGTACCCAGTGAGTGTATACCACTTGCACAGCCCTAAATCCATCCATGTGAGAAGATGTCTTCTGTTCAATTACTGGCTCATAGGCTCCTTGGAGGCTCAGGAGAGCTCTGAGCAGCTTTCTGCAAAGCAGTCTTCACAGTTTAAAATCCCACTGCCTAGTAAAAGCCAATAGCAGCAGGAAAGGGCACAAAGCAAGATGCAGAGCTCGGTGGGTGGAGCTTCCATCTTGATGACATAGCCAGGTCTATGAAGCTCTGCCAGTTGCCCCAAGACATTGTTGAGGCAACTTGTATTTTTTGCTTCAGCTGCAAGATGACTAACCACTGTCCTGAACCAGTGCCTTGGTCTTTATTCAAGGTCCTGATTTGGCCTGGCCTTACTTGCCATCTTCTCCAGAATCTCACACCTACTGACTTCTACCTTACTTGGGGCCATCACTGTCCCGCGATGGGATCAGGACAATGGTATTCAAAGCACACAGTCCTATGCTTTGGGTGCAATGAAACATTAGAATAATTCTTCAGCATTAGTCTATTTCTCCCTGGGTGATTGGAAGAGAAATGAGAGGAGAGGAGATGTAGCCCCAGCACATTAGACATCTAATAAAATGGAAAAGTGCTAGTTAGTACTTTTTGTAGCACGCAAAAGATTGATGTTCTGTCTGGCTATTTCTGCTCATTTCCAGTATGTCTGTGCTGATGAGAGTACGACAAAGGCATACATTATGCATTCCCATTCATTGCCCCCCCCCCATGAAGGAGACGAGGTAAGTGGCCTTTTCTGTACTCAAGGAAACACAAGTCTCCATTACTGTATATTTTCCTTAGCATCCACAATCTTTCTAAAAGGGCTCAGTTCATGCATATATAAATGAGCCAAGGCCCATCATCTGAATTAAAAGCCAATGCCCCTGCTTTTGACCACTGCACTGAGGCGGTAATTCTAAGCAAATAAAGATGGCTTAAACAAGTGAAAAGAGTGTATCACTACTTGCACTGCCAGCGGCGGGGGTGTTGGCGGGGGGGGGGGACCGAAGGAGGAGGGAAGTGAGGAAAAGAACAAAAAGATTTGGTAAGTCTCCAGTTACTGGGCAATGTGGTATTTCTCCTGGGGACATTCCATTACTAAGATAGACAGCTGGAACATTTCCACGATGAAACAAGCAATACATGTTGAAAAATCACTGACACATTGTTCCCATAATGTCAATATGCAATCAGGGAGAGTTCCTCCTCCACCGCGGATGCAGTGGATGTTCTGCAGGGGCAGGTGGACAGGAGAGGACTTCACAATGCTGCCATTTACTATGCAGGGATGGGGCATGTCCTGCATATCTGCTTTATATTGAGTATTCCATCTAATTTGTTTGCTGAGCATTGAGCATTTCTCTTGATAAGCTTGCAGGGTGCTCATACACCTTCCCACCCATTCATTCACCCCACACTTTTCAATCCATTTCCCCATCACTTTCCAAACCACAAAATAGTCCCATTCTCTTTTAAAGCCCTTTGATCTGCTTTAATTGCAAATGCCTATAGTTCCTTGAACCCCTCCAACAAAACAGGGTTGGCCTGGAAGCACTCTCAGTCTTTCCCTCTTATCCCCTGGTAAATGCTGGACAAACTACTGCGCCTCTGTGTTGCATGTAGCAGGAATGAATTGCGGAAGGAGAAAGGAGGGAGGGAGGGGGGGAGGGAGGAGAGAAGAGACCACATATGAGCTCACCACATCCCTGCTGCTGTCATCACTGCAGCAGCTCACAGGGAAAGGTGGAGACATTGTAATTTTAGACTTAATCCAATTACTGAGAGAAGGTGCTTGCTGGTGGCTGCTTTCATTATTGTCTAGAGTTAATTAATGCTAAAGCAGGGCATCTACTTGCATTAGTTGTGGTAGAAGTTGTGGGCACCAATTAGATGACATAATCCATTATGCATCTTTGAAATTCTCCTGTCCAGGATCTGCTATGGGGAAGGCATTTGGCAGGAACCACGGTGGTTTCTCCCGATACTTTGCACGAGCCGCTCGCTGCTGGAAGGATACTTAGCCTGAGCTTCTATAGCTCCCTCAGGTTTCTTGCAATGGTGCGCACTCACTGCTCAGAGCAAAGCCAACATGAACACATAGTCTTGGGGCAGGTGCAGAGTTGCAGTTGAACTTCTTGGTAACAATCAGGGATGATGGGGGCTGTAGTTCAACAACATCTGGAGGGCCCCATCCAAATTAGAACTGACTCTGCCGCAATTTCCCCAGCACTTTTTAGAGCGTATATGATGATATAGTTTGCAGGTGGTAGAATTATAGCATCATAGAATTGTCATGGGTCATTTAGCCCAACTACCTGCAATGTAGGAATCTCAACTAAAGCATCCATATAGAAAGTAACATGTAATTAAAAAGTTAATCTTGTAATAATGATTAAGGTTGGAAGATGTAGAAGTTTCAGAAATTCACATTTCAGACCTGATTTCTGTACTAAAGACATTTCTAGCATCCAAATTCTATTTCTGAATATATGTAGACTCTTGTGGAACGTAAGTATGTAAACTTGAATTGAGATCAAGGATTCTCATCTCCTTGTTCTGTTTGTGTGAGATAACTGGCCTCATATAACCAACATATTAATTCTAATTAACACACGAAAGGGTTACTGCCAATGAGCAAGTTGTCCTGCCAGGCTTAGCCTAGAACACTTCCCCTCACCTTGGGAGGAACTACTGTATTTTTCGCTCTATAACACGCACCCGACCATAACACGCACGTAGTTTTTAGAGAAGGAAAACAAAACAAAACAAAATTTAAACGAAACAGTGGAGGTATGATTTTTGTGGTTCATGCTGTGGCCACAGACATGTGATCTGACAGTGAGTTTGGAGTAGCCCAATGCAAAAATCCTGAGAATCCATGTGGATCCATGCTTTGTAACCACGTTTTTGCACCACTGCGGCCCCAGGCAACAGTGGGTACGTGATTTTTTTGGTGCAAGATGTAGCCATGGACATGCTATGTGATCTGATGGTGAATTTGGGGTGACCCAGTGCAAAAATCCTGAGGATCCATGTGGATCTGTGCTTTGTAACCATGTTTTAAGTGGGGAGGGAAGGAAAAGCACTCAAGGGACAAGGAGCACGTGTGGGGTGGGTGGAGAAGGATGCTGCTAATAATGCAGGAGAGGGGTGTAAGGGGAGAAGGAACACGCATAGGGTGGGTGGAGAAGGATGCTGCTAATAATGCAGAAGAGGGGTATAAGGGGAGAAGGCTCCTCTCCTCTCCCACTTTGCTCCTTTAAAGCAAGCAGGCTCTGCTTTTCTCCCTCCTCCCCGCTCATCCCTGGTTTAGCGAGCTGAAAAACTTTGCTGCTATGTAGCGAGCTGAGTGGGGAGGAGAGAGGGACAGAAAGCCTGTTTGCTTTAAAGGAACCAACCGGAGCCACTTACACTCGTGTAAGCGGCTCCTCCCCTCTCCCGCTTTGCTCCTTTAAAGAAGCAGGCTATCTGTCCCTCTCTCCTCCCCACTCAGCGGCTCTTCTCTCGCTTTGCTGTTTCAAAGCGAGCCACCTAGGAGGGAAGGAAGGGGAACCATGGATCCTCTGCTCACGGCTGCAGCAGATCCCCCCCCCCCACCACCCGTAGGCATTCCCTCCATAACACGCACAGACATTTCCCCTTACTTTCTAGGAGGAAAAAGTGAGTGTTATGGTGCAAAAAATACGGTAGGTAATTAATCCTTCTGTTTAGCCCCAGTCCACCTGAGAAGCTCAGCATCTGAAGAGATTTGAGCTGGTTGCCCCAGCTCAACCGCATGGCTTTCACCAACCAGTCCTGCGTGCTTATACCAATTATTTAGGAACTTTTACCACATTGTAACTAAGGTAAGTTTTATTGCCTGTACAGATGTATGAGAAAGCACATTAACCAGACCTTTGAAGATTTAGTAAGTAAACCAGATTTTAACTCTCTCCCTTTCTATATATATGTATATATGGCAGCAACACTTTACTATTATAGTTTCAAATTCTGCTTGTCGTCTATGGAACTGTTGCTTAAATTTGGAGATAAAGGATCAGGTGTTAGGCCTGTAAATATTAATACCAAGGTGTTGTATGGCATAGATCCTCATCCACCTTCCCTTCCACAAAGAGGCACATTCCAAGTCAAATGAGTTCTACAGATCCCAGCAAAAGAGTATTTAGACATCCATATTCCTCACCTGATGACTGAAGTCAGTTTCTGCTTTGAGACATCAAGCAACATGCATGTGTGAAACTTCAGTTTGAGAGATCCTTGGTTGTGGGAAGTGACGAACAAATAATTAAGTAATCTTAGTGAGTTGGTTCTGGTTTCTCCCAGCAGAGAGCTTCCGCTATGGTTTCATCACTTGCAAATTCTCATTACAGAAAAGTTATTACTTGTAGAATGGGGAGAAAACAAGCTGAACTGTTAAGGGACTTAGTTTAATGGCAGCGTGAAGGCTCCCTAGAAATATTTCCAGGAAGTCCCTTAGCTGAGTAATTTGGACTTACACAATTTTCCCTAACAACCCAAGCTTGGCTCATTTCCTTTTGGTTGCTATTTCCTGGCTCTCCTGACTAACACATCTTCAAGACCAAAGACTCTGTGGATCCTCTAAGGTGTAATTAATGCTGTCTGTTCTGGGTTCCAATGTATTTATTTTTAGATAGGTTGGATCGTTTGAATATCAGCTTCAAAAGTTTGCCTTTGCTTGCTTACCTCACATACTTTCCTTGGGAATCATTATCATATCTTGCTGCCTCTGGGGGATATCCTTTAGACATGAGATGAGCCAAAATAAATGATATGTTCAATGTTTTGTTGTGTTCTAAAGGAAAGCAGTTGTCTATAATGATCAATATATTGCCGTTGCATTTTTAAGGTCCAAAAATGATAAAGATTTAAATGTTGAATAGCAATAATGATTTAAATGCTGCAGTGAAATAAATAATGAACAATTAGCTAAAGCCTATAAGAACACCATAGGTTGTATTCAATGTAGTGCTAATTGAAGGTCCTATCAGCACGTGGATTACTGCTAGCACAACGGGACCCCCCCGCTTTGCATGCACACTACCTAAATGTGTTCTATGGGGGCCCATGTGCCCACAGAGGTCTTTTCCTTTGAAATGGTCTATGCCCTTTTATTTTGGTAAATTACCCACCTGGAAAACAACCTTAGTAAGGTTGAATTTTTTCCCACCACATATATGACCCCTACACTACTCTTAGATACAGTTTTTGTAATTCACACACATGGAATTATAATTATAATATAAAGAGCTTACCTGTACAGTGATGCAATGTCTGGAGAACAATGTCCTATTCATTGTTCATCTTCAGATGATTTTTTAAAATAAATAAGGGTCTTTTAAAACCTACAACACGTTACTCTGTTTATGAACGAGATCCAAATTTGCGGTACTCCGTTAGCTAGCTTCCAACATAGAGCAGCCCACTAGCCACACAGTGTTCTGTCACTATGCTCTCTACATATCCAGAAAATTGTGTCTGAATGGATCTTCAGCAATGCCTATTAATCTTGATAGCTAAGGCCCCATGAAATGCTAATTTTACTACTACTTTAAATGACTTCGGCAAGCTTTTGCTCACACCATTTGGCAAACATAAAGTGCCAGACAAACTGAAATGTCTTCTGTTGTCTGCTTCTTCTTTTTTTAAGTTTGTTCTTTATTCAAAGGCATCTAAATTAGGAGAATGTAATAGTCATCAACAGAAATGTTTCCCGTGGAGAGACATCTGCATACCATACACCAGTTGAATTCACATAATGCAATATCTACTTTCCAAAACATTCATGCTTTAAGAGCTGGATGGGAATTGCTGTTTTAAAAAGAAAAAGCATGTGTATTTCAAATTAGCCCTCTTACGTGAGCAAAAAAGAGTGGATGGCATTTAATTGTATTCATGACAACAAAAGAAGAGCCTGCTGGATCAGTTCAATGGCCCATCTAGTCCAGCACCCTGTTCTCACAGTGGCCACCTAGGTGCTGGTGGGAAACCCACAAGCAGGACCTGAACATGAGAGCACTGTGTCCTCCTGTGTGTCCCAGAAACTGGTACTCAGAAGGCTGTAACCTCCAACGGTGGCAGCAGAGCTTAGCCATCATGGCTGGTAGCCACTGGAGACCTTCTGCTCCATGAATTTGTCCAATCCTCTTTCAAAGCCATCTAAATTGATGGCTATCACTGCCTCCTTAGTTCCATATTTTATGTATGCACCGCAGCTGTATTTAACTATGCATTCCAATAGTGTCCCTCTGCTGACAGGAGGCTCTTTGATCAAGTGGGGAACTCTGAGACCCCATTACCATCTCCCCACTAGTCCAAAGGACCCTCCATCCACCTGAGCAGTTTGAAGGTGACACAGGTGACTGCAGCGAGAAAGTGAAATCAGCAGCAACTGCCCTTCCACTTTCCTCAAACATCAGCGGACAGGTACTGCCTTTTTCTGGATCATTCCTCCTCATTTCAAGGGCATTTCCTTTCACAATATGTTTTTCAGCTCTTAACTTGTTATACACCAAAAAAGTTTATGGGAATATTGAATATTTGAACAGAGGTAGCTGATGCAGTGATGTGCATAGATTGTTTTTGTTCTTTGTATCTTGTAGGGTTAAAAAAAAGGATGGTTGATTTGTACCATTAATGTTATTATATATTTTTTATTATTTTAGTGGAGTAGTGGTGAACCACCATGGAAATGCTTTTACATCAAAATGTGGAGTAGAAACCCATACAATAAATACATAACAAAATAAAGCTGTTACGGGAAACTCTAAGAGGTGCGAATTGTCAGGGGGACTACTGGGAAAACCCAGTTCAGCGACCATGGTGTATTATATTATTCAATGATGCTAGTGTTCACCTTGTGAACAGATACGGGTCCTGTTCAGATCATAGTTTGGCTTCCTTGGGTTGTGTTTAGGGCTCCCTTTCCTCCTCCATATCTAAACAAATTGGAATGGAAAATAGATAAGACATGATTCTGAGATCAGTATGAGGGCTTCCACACACTTAAATCTAAACCTGCTCCAAAACCCTTTCAGCAACCTTGCTTTCCTTTTTGCACTTCTTATCCCACCTTTCCTAGAAAGAACTCAAGGCAGAATCCATAGTGCTTCCCTCCCACTCCCCAGCTGCCATTTTATCCTCAGTGCCAGACTGCTTGGCTTTAGCAAGCCCATATGGCACAGATACGATGTAGTTAGTATCCTGTCATTGCTTGTACAGATGGAGCTATTGTGTCAAAACTCCCCAGCATGGACTGCCCAAAGGCTTCAGTAGTTTGTAATAAAGTAGGATCCTAGGACTTGGGGTCAACAACATGGTGCTTGTGGGCACCAGTGTGCCCACCAGTACCCCACATGGTGCCTGCAAAAGTTTTGGTAAATATCCCCTTTGAAAAACCCACACCACACAAGAGAATGTTTGCTCTTCCTGCTCAGTTCCTATTTGCACTGGCTTAGCCTATCCTACACTGAACATGCTGCCTTAAACATGCCCTACATTTCCTTGGATGGCAGTCCCCACCCCAAATCTGGTCCAAACAAAGAGCTTGTCTCTGTGAGCAAGTTTAGTGGCAACTCTAGTCCTCATTGATGGGAAAGCGTGTTTGCACTATTTTGTGGTCCTGTCTCTTATCCTGATCTCTCAGATGTGGCAGCCATTTTGTGACGTGTCATCCCCCATGACAACCATTTTGTGACTGGTACCCACAGCATTTTCTCAAAATTCCAGTTATGCTCACTGGCCCCCAAAGGTTGGTGACCTGCTTTCCTAGGCAAAGGCGGATCTAGGGGAGTACAACTGGTGTGGTCACACAAGGTGTGGAACTTCTGGGGTGCTGAGGGGTGTGTGTGTGCAACTTTGACATACAACAGCACCAGATTTTGGCATCACACAGGGCACCACTGAAATTTGAGACACGAAAGTCTGCCACTTTCCTAGGAGGCCTGGAAACAGAAAATACAACTAAAACAACAGACAATAGTACTGCCTATGAAATTAGATATCTCCCTACCATCACCATCACCCTCCACATTATTATTTCATACTTCATATGCTATGTCCCATTTCGTTGTCCAGATCAATTGGTGAATTATTCCTCAGAGGCTTCCTTTGGATTAACTGCCTTTAAAATTCTGCATGATCAGAGCATATCCTCGCCTTATTGTAAACCTTTCCCCATATCATAGTTGGAATTTATGTATGTTCACGGAACAAAAAATTGATTTTGTTTGCTATTAGTGAAAGCCCAATTACCTTTCTTATTCCTTTAAATTAACCAGCAAACTGTATGCTTTTATTTCTCTCCATGCACTGCTGTCTTTGGAACAAGTTGTCCTGCCTAAAGATGGGGAGAGGACTGTCAAGAAGGAATTGTCAAGGAATAAGCTTCTAGCAGCAAGAATATAATTAATAATCGGGAGAAGAAAAGCAATCTCTCCAACACGCTTTGTTGCATTTTCTATGCAGTGGTCTCTTCCTAAGAGACTACTGAGAGATCCAGGAATAAACAGTTAAGGATAATGGTTTAATTTCCTGAAATGGGAATGCTTGCTTATGTTGAATTGCTGTGTATTTTTAGCATGGGGTTTCTTGGCAGTAGCTCTCTCATGTGATTGGGTGACTGTGAGTCACATGAGCGAGGCATTCCATTCTGTTGTGACTGTTATTCAAGTAATTGTCATTTTAAACTGCTTTCTGCTTCTCTCTCTGTGTGAGGGAGAATGGCTGCTGAGTGGGGCTTTTTTGGATACTGCTGAGGACAGTGTGTGTCAGAGTGATCTGTCTGAAGTGAAACAGACAGAGGAAGATCCCTAAATGATAATAGGGAGAAACCTGTGCAGGAGCTCTCCATAAGGAACAATGTGAATAAGCATGAGATTGCTAATATATTCTACTCAGTCATATGTGTATGGCAGTAAGGTTTATATATAGAGAGAGAGTCTGGACACTGCACACAACATGAACTACTCCCACCACAATCCAAGTTGGGACTTCAAAGATGTGTGAGTCAGCTTCTGCCCATGTACCCCAAGCTGCTGTGCCAAAATCAGTCCGCCAATTTCTTAAATGTTTTCTTCACCTGAAAAAGAGGCTTCTTTTCTTCTGTTTCTGTCATAGGGTGCTTTAGAATTTCTGTATGCTTCCAGTGGGTGCAGAACTTAACTTATCATTTCAGTGGTAGTGTGTATATTTTTGTTTGTTTGTTTTGCTTTCCATTTGTCATGAACAGGAAGGGCAATGGGGAGAAGGAAGAGGATCCTGGCAAGAGGTGTAGCTGTGACTGAGACACACCTGGGCAAGCTGGGGATGGAGAAGTACTCATGGGGAGAGAGAAGACGGCAAAGGGATGGGGGTCAAGTTCATAGGAACCAGAGGAACAGGACCCATCACCAGAGCCAGAGGGGCCCCTTTCCCCGCGAACACAGCGGCTCTGAGGCATAAGGAGCAGCAGGAGGTGTTATGTATTGAAGTTCTCACCCTGGCCACCAGGGGGTATTGTGTATATAGTTTTCGCTCAGGCCCACTTAAGTTACCGTAATTTAGGCAGGAAACCCTGGGCTGTTGTTGTTACAATGTATAAAAGCAGGCCAGCTGAGCTGTTTGCTGTTCAGTTCAATTCCAGCTTACTTATAAAGAACTACTTGGAGAAATCTCTGTGTCGTCTGCTATGTCCACCCACTACTTAATAGAAGGTGTGTTCTAGCAGGCTGAGGCAGGCAAGGGCCCACAGCCCAGCTACCTAGCTGCCCAGGTGGGGCTCATTAGCTCTGGGAGGAGGGGTGTGATTCCTCAGCTGGAGTAGACTCAGAACAGGTGAGGATCACATGCCTCATCAAGCCCAGATGCAGCAATCAAGGCTCAAGGGATGAAAGAGAAGCAAAGCTGAGGTGCTGTGTTTGTTTAACTTCCCAGCTTGGGGGGTCCTAGGAGCTCCACAGGACTGTGTATTTTGGGACTGAACTTCAAGTTCCCTGACCATGGATTGGCTGCAGAGATGGGAACCTGCCTGCCTGTTGGGCTTAGGCTTCCTGTATTGAACCTGGAGCATGTTTCCTGACCTGTTGGACTGCCAGACTACCCACTAGCATTTGACCCTGGGGCTGTATACTATCCAGAAACTGCATCTTCCCAAGAGAAGGTAGGCCCAATGCCCTGGCTTGCTGTCCTTCCTCCGTCCAAGGCCTCTGCTCAGCAGCTGCTGAGTAGAAGCATCTATGTTGTGGGGTGTGGGTGCTGCTTTGTAAGGAAAGTGACTTGCAAAGCAGCACCATGCAGGATTGAATCCTCCCTGTAGTGGGTTGAATTATATATATTGACCAGAACACATTTTGGTGTTAACAAAACAGTTCTATCAGTTCCCACAATGCTTGAGTGGCTGATTGTGGCAGTGGAAGAGTTTAGGAGGGGTCTTCACTGCTAGTGAACTGTGCCAAGGGTAAGATCCCCTCCCCATGCTGAGGATCACATTTCCTCCTGGGGCACATTCCAGTAGTAGGTGGGGCCAGAAGCAAAAAGTAGGCTGGGCAGCACATGTGACCCTTACTTTGGTACAATGTGCTGCACTTCATCCATGTAACTTGCACAATCCTCTTCATTCTCCAACCAGACAAACAAGGGGCATTACCACAGTGGAAGGGCAAATTTCAGTCAGGCAAAAGCACTGAGGAAAGCATGGAGCTGGGACAGAAAGGGGTGTGGACTAGGGAGGAGCCACGGTCTGAGGAGAATCGAGAGGGTCAGAGAGAGGACTGGGAGGCTGCATTTGACCCTCAGCCTGAAGGTCTCCACTCCTGGCCTAGTGAGACATTTCAGTTGGCACCTCCAACATTTGCAAATATTGATGCTATCCAAGTCTGATAGGTTGCAATATGTATTTACCCAGCTCACAGCTTGCAAGGGATTTCAAGATAAGCTGCTCTATCCTTGAAAATGCCCTTCTACCCACAATTTTGGCCATTTCCAGACAGTCCGTTTAATGAGCATTTAGCCTGATTTGTTTGTGGGGAGATGCTGCATTAAAATTATCCTACATGTGTCAATGCATTTTTCTATCACAAAAAGGCACATCTTTTGGGAGGAGTGGATTTGTTTCACAAGAGCTCCAAATTGCCTTGAACTATGCAGTCTGAATTGGTCAGGGTGGGATTTAATCCCATCCCCAAATAGTTTCAGTCTGGAAGCTCTCTTATATCGACACCCTTAGGATTTTATGTGCCAATTTTGTGTCTGCATGGTCTGTTGTTGGGATGGTACTGATTGGTGCAGTCTGTTTATTGCTGAAATGGACTTCAGCTTGACTGGCTTCTTGCATACAGGCCCAAACTGGGTTAGGCATAATGTAACTCAATCAAATCTAGCTGCTGGAAAGGTTGGGGAGAAGCATTTCTCTAGAACATGCTGGTAGCAAGGAAAAGATAGGCATATGAATGGTTTGGGGCAAGTACCCTTTGGTGAGAGAACCCTAGCAGAGATTTAAAATCACGAAACATGCAGCAAAGTATGGAAATATAGGCTGATAGACCTTTAAAATATGCCCTCGTGAGATCCAAGATAGTCTCCTCTTACCTCAGCATAGAAAAAGACCACACGTTTGATAAGTTAATGGTTTAGTTAAAAACTTTCCAAATGTCAGATTCATACGCTTTGCCATACAGCATTCAGAAAATGTTGCACAGGCAATAAAATGGCTTAGTTACAGTGATGAAAGTTCCTAAATTGTTGGTGTAGGAACACAAGAATGGCTTCTAAGAGTCATGCAGCTAAGCTGCAGCAACCAGCTCAGCCTCTTCACAAGCTGAGCTTCTCGGGTAGACTGATGCACAACAATAGGCTTGATTAGCCTCCTCCCCAGGTGAGGGGAAGTGACCTAGCTAAGCCCGGCAGGACAGAATACTCTATGGCATTAACCTTTCATGCATTAATTACACTTAAGCATGTTGGTTATACTATATAGTTATCCCACAGAACAACCATAGAATCAGAACTGTGGAGTTGGAATGGACCCTGTGGTCATCTAGTCCAACCTCCTGCAATGAAGGAATCTTTTGCTCAATATGGGGCTTAAACCCATGACCCTGAGATTAAGAGCCTCATGCTCTACTGATTGAGCTACACAAGCCATCCAAAATAGGTCTACCTAGTGCCATCATTAACATCCTTTCACTGCCAGGTAGGGTTGCCGCCTGTCCTGTATAATACAGGATTGTCCCATATTTCAGTGTAAAATTCTGTGTCCTATATTGATATAGTTTTGTCCTGTATTTCAGGTCTGGTCTTCTCTCTCTCTCTCTCTCTCTCTCTCTCTCTCTCTCTCTCTCTCAAGTTAGAGATCCTCTCCAAATGCATGTATTTGAAAGGGTGTGGGAAAGGTCATGTATTGGCTCACAGTAGCCAAGAACAGACAAATCTACAAATTCATGTGTATGCGTGTGTATGTGTGCCAAATTCCAGAACGGCCATCTTGTTAAGCTGCAATAGATTGTAAAGGATTGCTTTGAAGTCACTTTAGCACCAGACAGAAAAAAATCGCCACCCTGCATTTTGCCAGAACAAAGGTTGCAACCCTATTGCCAGGTACAAAACTTCTCTTTCCTCCTAGGATTTTGATAAAATTATGATGCATTTGCTGCCTATTGCATTGTATGGGTTTTCTTTTTGTGTATTTTATTATGATTTTACATTATGCTCCTTTTTTGGGCATATTTCTTGGAGATTCTTTAAATGGAAGGTGACTAATAATTAACTTTCTAAATCATTATTTAGTTTAAGCAAACAATGCAATTGTAAAACCTGGCATACTGTATTGAGCAACACCTATCATGGAAGATCACAAAGCACAGTGAGCTGGTGAAGGTTCATGAATGAAGCCTTTGCAACATACGCAGAAGAAAGGGGGTGCCACATAGTTGCCTAAGCAAAATGCTGCCTTTCCTGGCTTTGGGCTACAATTCCCAAGCAGTAAAGCAAGAAGGCATGTGTGCAAACACAAATCAGTTCAAAACCAGTCCCAAGTGTTTGCCAGTGGCACGTGGAATTGGTGATTCAGTAACAATTCAAGCGGGGAGGGCAGGGATTGTCCATTACTAGCTATAATGAACCTTGAAACCATTGGATAGTTTGGCAGCTCTGACTAAGAAATGGATGACATCCCTCCTGCATCAGGCCTTGAGCTTCCAAGATAATAGTGTGATGTTGGATACTTCCCAGTAGAGTTTGGGAGCAGACTGATGCAGCAGCAACTTTTACTAGAGACTCCCTGGTTTTTGAGAAGAAAAGTAGGCAAAAAAAAAGGGGGGGCACACAACAAACACATTATTTGAAGCAAATCAATTTGCAATTACTAGATTAATTAAAAAAGGCCCCTGTCAAAAAAACCTCAGCATGATTAAACAAAACAATTCATTATCCTCTTCTCTGATTAAAATTAAATTAATTAAAACAATTCCATTTACTTTAATTTGCCCTGCAGAAGTAGTTTTGCAATTCAGAACTGTTTTTTCCTCTTAACATACAAGACAACTTGTCAGCCTGCAATCCTATACCTAGAGAGTAACCAGCCTCAGAGATCATCCACCCACCCTTCAGCCCCCTTACAGATGCCTACTCCGTGTGTAGATTTCAAGGGGTCAGGCCCAGCATTGCAGCCCTGCTTTCTATCAATCATGTGAAGCCCCTTCATTTATATAATGTGTGAAGGGGGAAAACAAGGCAATGTCATTGGTTTCTTAATTGTCATTTCTGATACACTAAAAAGCAGGTGTGGGGAACCTTTGACCTCCAGATGTTGCTGAACTACAAGTCTCCTTTTCCTTGGACATTGGCCATGCTTGCTGGGGCTGATGGGAGTTGTAGTTCAGCAACATCTGGCTGGCCAAATATTCCCCACACCTGCACAAACGGCTCTTACTTTTCATCCAATCCAAACGTACATCCAGAACACGCAGGACATCCCAGAGGTTTGCTGCCATGGCAACAACGTTACTTTCAGCACTTCAAAAAGGTTTAATATTGGCTATTAAAGCTAGCATACTTTTTGTCCTTAAACTGAACCTTACAGCAGTCAATAAAATGTGACAAGGTCCTTTGGAGCTTGGGTACGTGAAATGTCAGGCCCATCTGATGCCGAACAGCCTCTTTTCGAAAATTCATGGCAGGAAAACCTGGTTCACTTTCCTCTGCCCTTATAAAGCAGGGAAAAAACCACACACCCAGGGGCTTTGCTTTTCAGGGCTAACCGACGCCTCTCTAGGCTCGTATTCAGAGGTCCCGCTGCTTGAGGCAAACAGACTCGTAATTCCATCTGTCAGTAAGGAAGGCAAAAGCACAAGAGGAGATTTCATCAAATGCCTCTCAAAGGAAAAGGTGGTGCTGGTCAGGCCTTCAAATTAATGTTGGTGAGCCAGGCACAATGAGTAAAACTAGGGATAGGGAGCTTCAGTCCAGGGGTTGACTATAATTCTCCAGGTCTCCACCTGGTCCCCACGACCCTCCCCAGGCTACACTTTCTCCTTCTACACCAGCCATGCTTTGTACTCCCCTTGAAGAAACTATCTTGTGATATATAGTAGGGAATCTTTGGGTCTCTCCTCCCCACTCCCTATGCGGGTGATTTGTTCTATTTATCAAGGAGGAGAGAAGCAGTGTGTGTCAGCCACAAGACAAACACAGAGAAGGTTGATTGGGGTTGAATTCAGCTTTCAGCAGCAATTTTGAGCAGGCACATGAATTCCATGAAGGTCTCCAAGGCACCGTAGCAAAGATAAAGCAAGGGACATGAAGTGAACAGCTAATTGGATTGTGCTTTGCCTCTGATTTATAAACTTCACCCAGCATTCCCCAACCTGGTGCCCTCTGGATGTGTTGGACTATGACTCTCATCAGCCTCAGTCAGCATGGGTCCAGGTGGGAGTTGTGTTCCATAACACCTGGCATAAACTAAAAATAAAAATGCAAATTACTGCAAAGTTTGCATGAAAACTTTGAAATGTGTGCATCTTTTTAAAATCTCCTTTCATATTATAGATATTTTAGGGAGGGTTATCTGAAAGCTGTCTAGCTCTTTCATATGATTTGTCCTTGAATGGTTGGATTCAAAGGAAAGAAAGCTTCACAGAATGGGCTACATATTTTAAAACACAGCCTACTTGGATTTTGATTTACCATATAACTGATAATCCCTTGTTCTGTGTATGCAGCCCAAGGCAGGCTCATTGGTTTTGTCAAACGTCTGGCATACAAGGTTGGCAGAATTTTCTCATCTTGGTGGATTACAAATTGTCCAGGCTTGGATAAAAGGCCTTGCCGCATTTGCCCCATTGAAACAAATAGTATATTGGTGATATAGTAGACTTGAGGGTCACAGTTGAGAGAGGGTGCTTCTCAGTTGCTAACTTTATGGCACTGAAAGTAATACCCATAGATACTGAGTGAGCTAAAAGGAAATGCCAAAATCCAGAAATGGAAGTTGAAATCTGACCTGAATATGGACCATTATTGCATATTGCCTGTCAATTCACTGGCAAACATCTAAAAGAGTTGCTGTGGCATGGGCACCAACTCCTAGAGGAGTTTGACCATCCCAATAAAATATTTGAGGGGACTGGCCCCCCCCCCCCAGGTTGATAGGCATTGCTGCCTTTCTTTCTTTTCTACTTTTGGACTTCGGTTCTCAACAAGCCCTGTAAGCGAACTTGTAAAAGGGTTGTTGGATGGCAAGAGAGCTGGGATTGGGCAACACCCCTTCCCCCCCATGTTGTTTCTTGCGGTACTTGTGATTGGAACTAAAACACACAGCAAGAGAAGCTCCCATTGACAGTCCTAATTGCAGGCTCCTCTCAGATCCCTCCCAAACTCGCAATAAAAGCCAGGGGAGTAGGGAGAGGGAGGAGGGACATTGTCCAGAGCTTGGCCATTTACTTTAAAGTTTCTTTTCTGCCACCCTTCCTCCCTCCCTCTCATATCACCATTCTTGCCTGGTCTCCACCTAATATTTTCTTCAAGCTGGGGCCTCTGAGCTGTGACATTGGTGTTATACTGGAGCCAGTGGGACTCAGGTTGAACTTCCCCCTCAGCCGTGAGGTTCACTGATTTGATGCTGGGCCCAGTCACTACTTCTCAGTCCAACCTACCTCACACGGCTGTGGTGAAGATAAAACGTTTGTGTGTGGTGGTGGAGAGAACCATTTATGATGCTTTGAGCCCCTTGGAGGAAAGGTGGGCTTTACATGCAAATAATAAGTGTCTTTTGAAATTCTTTATTTCTAATATGGCCATGAAAAGCATTTAATTTAAAAGCCATTTAAATATGCTTCATTTCTTTCTCTCAGTCTAAAGGCTACATGAATTTGGGGATCAATTCTGTGGGGACAAGGAAAGCATGAAACCTTTACTACTTCAAAGGCCACTTTGCTCCCCCCCTTAAAAGAGCCTTGAGAACAATACAGCAGGATGTTAAATGGTTTCTAAGCAGCAAGAGTCTTGTCACGTTTCATGGGATAGCATCAGACTTCCGCAAGCATTGCCTTGGCTTCCAGGCTTTCTGCATTGCTCTTCCTATCAATACCAGAAAGATTTTGCCTTCAGGAGTGATTTACTTTGAGTTGTTTACCAGCAAATGAGCGCTTAATGAACAGACCACTCCAGCCACTTTGGAATAGTCCATAAAAACACCTGCTGTTTAACTATTCTTTAGACGGGGGATGAATGTACAGCTGGCTTCTTTGTTTTATTAGCATCAGGTTGTTCTGCAGCAGCAGAAACAAAGTGCAGCAGCTTCTCTGTGTTTATTACAATGCTTAGCAAGTGTCTTCTACCTCTCAGCCTCATTAAACTCTCATTTTCCGTGAAGGCCTCAAGGGTGCCATGAAGGAACTTCTTTTGGACACAGGGAGGATCAAAGTAAATCTGATTTTTAAAATCATTTAGCTTGGCACTACCTAGTTGTTGTACCCAAAGCAATAGCCAGGGTGGGAGGCCTTGAGCTCTACTAGGTTGGTGTCAGTGGGAGTTCATCTTCTATTGCTAATAGAAGATGTGTGGCTCATGTGTGGGATTCCAGCTGAAATCATGGCAAAGGTAAAGGGATAAAGTTCTCCGCCTCCATGCCTTGGTACCAATATAGTGTAGAGATAACCTATGCCAGCTTTCCCCCTCTTTTTAAATTATGCCATGCAAAACTGCACGAGAAAAATCATGCCTCATTTGGTCTTGGGAGCCCACATTTGCAGTGCCTGAAGTTGAACTTAATAGGCTGTCCCTCACAAATGTAGCTGGGTGAGGAAGCACTGACCCATTTTCAACTGGACTTGAAGGGGACTTGGGCTTGATTTGCTTTGGGTTTGTGTTGATGAAAATGGAGAGAGGGCAGGGATAAATCAGGGGTGGGGAACCACCAACCCACCCTAACTAGGCCTGGCACAGGACCCAAATCGGCTTGTGAGGAGGCTTTTCCTAAACTACCCCACCCGCCCCACATTTGATGCTATAAGTGATATCAGATGTGGGGCAGGTAGAGACGTAGGTACCAACAAACAGTTAGGAGCCCTAACATGTGCTCTTGATTGTTCCTTAGCAAGGGGGATGGGGCTTGCTGGCACAACCAATTAGCTGATGGTTGGTGACAGCAAGCCCATTTGGATGGGCTGCATTTTTAAGTTTCTAATGAAGAACACCATAGCACAGTCCTGCCCTGCCCTACCCTAAGTGGGCTTGCTCTTGCCACTGATGAGTTGATGGGCAGCGACAACAAGTCTGCGGGGGTCAACTTGGATCTTCCTTTGCAGCATGGCATGGACTTGAGCCACGCTACTCAGGAAAAATGAGTCACCCAGTGTCAGGTGATTTCAGCTGACTGAGAGGTAAACAGGCCTGGTCACCTGTCAAAAGTGACCCACCAGGGGAGGGGGGACCAGGGATCTCACCTGCCGACAGGAGAAGCACACTGCTTCCACCCATGGAATCCTGGGAACTGTAATTTACCCACCACAAAACTACAATTCCCAGCACCTTCCACAAACTACAGTTCCTAGAATTCTTTGTGGAAAGTAATATGCTTTAAATGTATGTTGTCTGTGCAGCCTAAGTCTCACGCCATGTCAGCTGGGCTGCAAAGTCTGCAAGACCCAAAGTTAAAGTGAGAAGCAAAATCTACATCTAAAACTTTCTCCAAAAAGATGTTATCACAAATCCTGCAATCCTTTCCTGCAGCTGAACTCACCAGGTGATCAAGAACTTTGACAAACAAATTGATGTTTGTCTTTGGAGCTTG